AAACTATTGGGGATGGTGAGAGCCTGTGACTCAGTGCCTTGTGACTGAGACCCTCCCCCAGTTCCTCAGGGTCTCCAAAACATTCACAAGTGGTCAACAAGGGAGTCACCACAGTAGTCACATCTACCTGATTACAACATCTCCAGGGGAAAGTATTTAAGCCAAGGCTGGGGGGGCTACAGAGCCACACTCATCTTAGAGTTGACCCACTTCCTGTCTGTGGGAAGTGATCTCTTTCTTAAATAAATCTTTTCTTCTTTCACCTCTTTGTGTGTTGCAAATCTGTTCATCACTCGGATCCTGGTTACCAGCGCACACCTCCAGCACACACCTCCAGTACACGGGCTCTGGCGGTGCCACATCCCACATCCACCCTCCACACCCTAATCCCACTTATTTAGGTCTTTTTTTTTTCGTATTTTCAGAATTATTGTTCTGATTCCTTCTCATTTGGGTAGACTATTTCCTTTTTCTTGGGGCTGGCAGGGGTCTGACACAGGTAGTGTAAGCTTTGTGTGCCAACTGTGGCAGTCCGGTGCTGGGTACCTGCACTGGCTCACAATGTCCTAAGTGACCAGTGACTTAGAAAGTGGTGTTAGCTAGGGTCTGGTTTCAGACTCTAGCCAGAAGGTAGTGTTGGAGGTCAACGGGAGGTAGAAGAGAGCCAACAATGATGATGGCTGTAGGTTTTCTCCTTGTCCTGTGTTGCCTAAGGAAATGCTCAGAAAAACTAGGTGGAGGGTGGGGCTTTGGAGATTACCCAAGTTCTCTGTCTTTTTTGAGTCTTCAAGGAAAGTGTAGGAGAAAGGAATTTAAGCACCCCACCTGTGCACACTTTTGGCTACCCCATGGGGATCAGGAGGGAGTCCCAGGCCACTGGAATAACACTGTCGTGCAGGGTGAGCAAGGAAGAGTTTACACAGGTAATGAGATTGCTGTGGCAAGGAGTCCCACCCAGTTTCCCGCCTTAGCTTTAGGCAATCTGCTGTTCCAAATGTCAAAGTGCAACTGGCCTCAGGGCCTCAGGTGTTCTCACAGCAGCCCACCCTAGCTAGGAAATGTCTGCCACTGTGGAATTTGCCTGTCTACTCCCAGGTTAGCTAGAAAACAGCCACCCACAAGAATTGAGTTCCTGGGATACGGTAGCTGAAGTTATTCGAGGTTTTTTTGTACAGAGCCTCCAACACAAGCACACAGTGGCAAGTTTGCAAACTTAATTGTCACACCCCGAAGATGGACGGCTTTTTTTTTTTTTTTGTCATGAAGGAACGTTGGATTTTATCATATGCTTTTTCTGCATCTATTGAGATGATCGTATGGTTCTTGTTTTTAGTTCTGTTTGTGTGGTAAATCATATCATATCAATCAATGATTGACTTCCATATGTTGAAGCAACATTGAATCCCAAGAATAAAGCCCACCTAATCATAGTAAATTATTATTTACTATGTGCTGTTGGATGTAGTTTGATAGTATTTGTTGAGGATTTTTATATCTATGTTCATCAGGGATATTGGCCCATAGTTTTCTATCTTTCTTGTATCTTTGCCAGATTTTGGTATTAGGATTGAATGAGTTAGGGAGAAAGACTCTTCTCAATTTTTTGGAATAGTTTCAGTAAGATTAATATCAGCTTTTCCTCATATGTCTGGAAGAATTGGGCCATTAATTCATATGGACCAAGACATTTTTTTGGTTCTTGGGATTTTTAAAATTATGGATTCTATTTTATGATTCATTTTCGGTCTATTCTGGATTCCATCTTTTTGTAGTTCCATCTAGGGAGGTTGTGTGTTTTCAGAAAATTATCCATTTCTTCTGGACTTTCTAGCTTTCATGCATATACTTGCTTATAGTAATTTCTGAGAATCTTTTGTATTTCTTTGGGGTTGATGTAATGTCACCTTTATCAATCTGATTGTGCTTATTTTGATTTTTCTCTCCTTTTTTTGTTGTTAAGTAAGCCAGTCTTTGTTTTTTTGTTATTGTTGTTTTTTTTATTTTGTTTTTTGTCTCAGTTTCTTTTAGTTCTTCTCCAATTTTAGTTATTTATTTTCTTCTGCTAGCTTTGGGTTAGTGTGTTCTTATTTTTGCATGTTCCCTTAAGAGAGACATTAAGTTGTTTATTTGAGCTCTTTCTATCTTTCAGATGTGGGTATTTAGCACTATAAACTTTCCTCTTAGGATTCCTTTTGCGACTTCCCAGAGGTTTTGGTATGTTTTATTTTTGTGTGCCTCAGAGAATTGTTTATTTCTGTTTGATTTCATTGTTTACCCCAAAATCAATAAGGAGCAAGTTTTTTAGGTTTCATGTATTTCTGGTTTTGAGGGTTCCTATTGCCATTGATTTCTATTTTTATTTAATTGTGGTCAGAGAAGATGATTTTGGAATTTATTAAAACTAGTTTTGTAACTGAACATGTGGTCAATTTTAGAAGATGTTTCATGTGCAGATGAGAAGGCTGTATATGCTGGGGTTGTTGGCTAAATTATTCTGTAGTTGTCTATTAGGTCCAATTGGTCAAGTGTCTAATTTAAGTTGGAAATTTCTTTGTTAGATTGCTGCCTCAATCATTTGTCTAAACCTGACAGTGGAATGATGTGGTACTCTCCATACTGCATTGTACGTCTAAGTCATCTCTTAGTATAGTAGTAATTGTTTTATAAATCTGGATGCTTCAATGTTGGGTACATATATATTTAAAATGGTTAATACTTTTTGTTGATTGAGCTCTTTATCATTATGTAATGCCCTTTGTGTCTTTTTTTTTTTTTTTGACTGCTGTTGGTTTAAAATTTGTTTTATCTAATAGAAGATCAGCAACCTCTGCTCTTTTTTGTATTCCATTCCATGTAATCTCCATCCCTTTACCTTGAACCTATGGATGTCATTAGAAGTGAGATGAATCTTTTGCAGACAGCAGAAGGATGTGTTGCCTTTTTTTTGTTGTTTTTTTGAGTCAGAGTCTCATTCCATCATCCAGGCTGGAGTGCAATGGCATGCTCACGGCCACCCCAGCGTCTACCCGCTGGGCTCTGGCGATTCTTCCACCTCAGCCTTTCAGGTAGCCAGAACTACAGGCACACACTGCCATGCCCAGCTACTTTTTCGATTTATTGTAGAGACGAGATCTTACTAAGTCGCCCAGGCTGTTCTCGAACCTGTGGCCTCAGGCAATCCCCTCACCTCAGCCTCCCACAGTGCTGGGATTACAGGCTTGAGCCATGTGCCTGGCCTGAGTGTTGCTTTTTAATTCAATTTGCCACTCTGTCTTTTCAGTGGGATATTTTGGCCATTGACATTTAGAGTTACTGTTGATATATGAGGTTTTGCTCCTGTTATAGTGTTATTAAATAGTTGCTTTGTATTCTCAATTGTATGGTTGATTTATATGGTCTGTGGGCTATGTGCTTACCTGTGCTTTTGTGTTAAGCAGTATCATTCTTTTGTCTCCATGTTTAGAACTCCCTTAAGCACCTCTTGTAGGGATGGTCTGGATGTGACAAATTCCCTTAGTGCCTGCCTGTCTGGGAAATATTTATTCTCTTTTGTTTATGAAGCTTAGTTTGTCAGAATAAGAAATTCTTGGCTGGCAATTCTCTTATTTAATCATGCTAAAAATGAGCCCTTAGTCTCTTCTGGTTTATAAGGTTTCTGGTCAGAGCTTCGCTGTAATCTGATGGGTTTTCTTGGTAGCTGGTCTGACTCTTCTCTCTAACTCCCTTTAAAATGTTTTTCTTTGGCATTGACCTTGGGTAGTTTGATAACTATGTGCCTTGGGGATGGCAGTCTCATATAGTATCTTGCAGGAGTTCTCTGAATTTCGTGTACCTGCATACTGACCTCTTTAGCAAGACTGGGGAAGTTTTCTTAGATTAGGTCCCCAAATACTTTTTCTAGGTTATTCCCACACTCTCCTTCTCTCCCAAGAATACCAATCAGATATAGGTTTGTTCTCTTTACAGAAACCCCATACTTCTCAAAAGCTTTGTTTATTATTTTTATTCTTATTTACTTTTTTTTTTGTCTGATTGGGTTGATTTTAAAAACTGGTCTTCAAACACTGAAATTCTTTTTTTCTGGTTGGTTTAATTTGTGGTTAAAATTTGTGACTATATTTGGACATTCCCAAAGTAAATTCTTCAATTCCAGAAGTTCAATTGTGTCCTGTCTTAGAATAACTATGTCAACTTTCAATTCTTGGATTATTTTTGTGGACTTTTTTTTATTTTGGGTATTCTCTTGGATTTCATTGAGTGTCTCGGTCATTCATATTCTGAATTCTATATCTGTCATTTTGGACAATTCATTCTAGGGTTAAGAGCCTTTGTTCGAGGGGGTGGAGCAATCATTTAGGGTCAATTAAACATTCTGGCTTCTATGTTGCTAAAGTTTTTGCACTAGTTCCTTCGCATCTGAGAGAGCTGACACTTTTTATTCATGTTGGCTATTGTTGAGATGAAGTTTTTATTTGTTTTTTTTTTTTCTTTTTTCCCTTGGGTATGGCTGTGATATATGTTGTTTATGGGTAAATTGACTTCATTTCTGGGTATGTTCAGAGGATCACTGCTCTGGATGGGTTCTTGGTTGCAGATAGAATCATTCAATTATTGTCTTGGATGATATTTGTAGCAGTGTGATTTTGTTGAGTGGAGAAGTTCAGCCTGCAGACCCACAAATGGCATTTAAACGTAAGAGGAGGTAGTGGTGACAGCCACAAAAAACTTACCTGAGTGCCCTGGAAGTTGAGTTCTCAGAGGACTGCTAGGCTAGACCTCAGCCACAGTGTTTAGACAACTGTGGGGCCACCATGATGAAGACCTGAAGCAGGTGATCTCCATCTAGAGGAAGCAGCTGACATGAGGAAGTAAGAGGCATACCTTCTGCTCACTACTTTTGCATTTTGTAGCTGCAGAGTCTGTGTTGGGAGTACACACAAGTGCCCAGGAAAACTGCTCCCTCCCTGGCCCAGGGGCAGCAGGGATGCGGAGAAGTAGCGATGGCAGCAGTTGGCAGCAGCTACAAAAGTCTTGCCAGAAAGCTCTGGCTGGCAGCTGAGTTCCCAGAGGACCACTGGACCTCAGTCACTGTGTTCAGGTGGGTGTAGGGCTGCTGTGCTGGGGTCCTGAAGTAGGTAATCGCCATCTGTGGGGAAACACCTGTTGAATATGAAAAGGTGGGGTGTGCTGACTTCCTGCTGCTACTGTGTATTGCAGCTTCACAGTGTGTGTTGGGGGGTCTTATAAAAAGTGCTAAATTGGACTACTTCTTCCCTGGTTCAGGGACAGCAGTGGTGGTGACAATGGCTGCAGCAGCTGCAAAAAGCTTGCTGCTCTCAGAAGAAAGATGGGCTTCCTCCTTGGAAAAATGGCAGCAGCTAGTGCTGAGTCCATCACTGTGTTGGGGGGACTCACATGGCTTCATGCCAGGTCTGGCTTGGCAGGCTATCTGACTTCATTCCTCTCTATTTTCTGAGGGTCCTGTTACTTCTCTGTTGACTCCTGGCATGCATTCTTTGATCATGTACTTGGAGTGTTGAAATTCACTTACTATTTGAATCTTCTACACAATAGAAGTGCACACTAGCTGCCTCTAGTCAGCCATCTTGAACTGGAACCTACCAAGACACATTATAATTCAATTATAAAAAGTAAAAGGCAAAGAGAAAATGTCGAAAAGAGAAAAAGAAAAGCAACTCATTACATAGAAGGGAACCTCTATGAAACTTTCAGTAGATATCTTGGCAGAAACTTTGCAGACCAAAAGAGAGTGAAGTGATATAGTCAAAGTTTTTTATACAAAAATTTTGAACCAAGAATACCTTATATGAAGTTTTATTCCTGTTATAGTATCCTTCAGCTATAAATAGAGATAAATATCTTCCTAAACAAAAGCTGTGGTAGTTAATCACCCCTAGACTTTCCTTACAAGAAATGCTAAATGAGGTTTTTCAAGTTGAAAAGGAAGGATTCTAACAATCAACATAGACAAATATAAAATTATAAGACTCACTGTTAAGGTAAGAATATGACAAAATTCAGAATATTCTAATACTGTAATGATAGTACATAAATTATTTTAACTCTAGTATAAAAGTAAAAATACAAAATTGTTAAAAATAACTATAACAATAATATTTTGAATAGATACATGATATATAAAAGATGCAAAGTTGTGACATCAATTAGAAGCTAAAGTGTAGAGGTTTTGTATGCAATCAAAGTTAAGTTGCTATTAGCTTAAAATAGACTGTTACACTGTAAGATGTTTTATGTAAACCTCATGGTAATCCCCCCCTAGAAAAAACCCTATAATAGATACAGAAAGCATGAAGAGAAAAGTTATAAAACATGCCACTATAAAAATATTATCAAATAACAAAGGAAGAAAGAGATGGAGCGTGGAACAAAGGAACCACAATAAGCAATAAGTCCTCATTTATCAGTAATTTGTTTAAATGTAAGTGGATTACATTCTCCAACCAAATAGTAACTAAATGGACTAAAAACCATAAGACCCAAGTCTGTTCTGTCTACAAATGATTCACCTTATCTCTGAGCCATGACTCTCAGTTGGTCAATGTAATTTCTATAAAAATTCCAGTGGCATTTTTTACAAAAATAGAAAATGCTAAAATTTCTACAAAAGACTCCAAATGGCCAAAACACTCTTGAGTACATAGAATAAAACTGGAGGCATCACACTACTTAACTTCAGAATGTACTACAAAGTTAAAGTGATCAAAACAGCATGGTATTGGCATAAAAAAAGACACATGGAACATAATAGAAAGCCCAGAAATAAATCCACACATTATGGTCAATGGATTTTTTTAAATGGTGCCAAGAACACACAATAGAAAAAGGACAGTTCCTTCAATAAATGTTATTGGGGAAACTGGATATTCTCATGCAAAAGAATGAATTCAGACCACATTATAAAATGGCTCATGCCATATACAAAAATCAACTCAATGGAATTAAAGACTTAAATGTAAGACCTGTATCTGTAATACTATTAGATGAAAACATAGGGAAAATTTGGCATTGATCTGATCAATGACTTTTTTAGATATGACCCCAAAACACAAGCAACAATAATAACAAGAGACTTGCATCAAACTTAAAACCTCTGTACAGGCCAGGTGTGGTGGCTCACGTCTATGATCCCAGTACTTTGGGAGGCCAAGGTGAGAGGATTGCCTGAGCTCACAGTTGGAGACCAGCCTGGGCAACTTGGAGAGACCTCATCTCTACAAAAAATTAAAAAAAAAAAAAAAAATACTAGTTGGGCGGGGGGGC